TCCTGTTGCTAGTGGCCAAGGGAATGCTGGGAAATATAGTTCTTTCCCTGCTCCAGGGCTGGCTCTATAGGCAGGAAACTAACCAAGGAACTACAGCTCCCAGGGGCCCCTGTTGGTTCTTAGCTTCCATGCTGGATTCTTGCGCCCCTTGCAAATCTGCCGCCCCAAGCAACTGCTTGCTTTGCTGGTGCCTAGAGCCAGCCTTGGCCCCTACAATGGCAAGGTAGGGGGACGGAGGGAGGGGCGGTATTCCTCATTTGGGAGCTGCTACCAGCCTGGGCACTAGCTATTGTCGGGAGAGATAGGGGAGCAAGTAGTAGAATCGATGACTGACCAACTTTACTTAATCTCATAGAATATCAGGGTTGGAAGGGACCTCAGGAGGTCATCTAGTCCAACCCCCTGCTCAAAGCAGGATCAATCCCCGGACAGATTTTTACCCCAGTTCCCTAAAGGATTGAACTCACAACCCTGGGTTTAGCAGAACAATGCTCAAACCACTGAGCTATCCCTCCCCCCTCAGTGCCTCATCTCCTCATCCCAACCCTGGGCAAAAGATATCTGTCCCCCAAAGAAGTGAGAAGGAGTCATTGGCGTTCAAGGAATGACCCATAGATTCTAAGCCGGTAAAGGACTATTGTGATCATCTGGTCTAGAACTTCTGATCTAGAACATCCAGAACAGGGGTGTGCAAACTACGGCCAGTGAGACATTTTAAGCTGATCTGCAAGCTCCCACTGGGGAGTGGGGTCAGGGCCTGCATCATGTGGTTCGGCCCTGCTCTGGCACTCCGGCGGGGGCACTGGTCTGGGACCGCAACACACGGCTTAGCCCTGCTCCGGCTGGGATGCAGGGTTGGGGCCATACCACGCAGCTTGGCCCCACTCCAGAGCACCACGCGGCTCGGCCCCGCTCCAGTGCTCTGGCCGGGGCGCAGGGTCGGGGGCCGCTCCACGCAGCTCCCAAAAGCCATGTCATGGCCCAGCTCTGGCTCCTACTTGCTCCAATGGCCGCCTCCAGCGCTTCAATGAGAGCTGCACAGGCAGTGCCTGCAGATGGGGCAGTGCTCAGAGTCGCCTGGCCATGCCTCCGCGTATGAGCTGGAGAAGGGACATATCACTGCTTCTGGGAGCCGCTTGAGGTAAGTGCTGCTCGGAGCCTGCACCCATGAGCCTCTCCCCATGCCCCAACCCTCTGCCCCAGCCCTGATCCCCCTCCTGCTCTCCAAACCCCTTGATCCCAGCCCGGAGCACCCTCCTGTACCCCAAACCTCTCATCCCCAGTCCCACCCCAGAGCATGCACCCTCAGCCGAAACCTTCACCCTTCATGCACCCCAACTCCAATTTTCTAAACTTTCTATGGGCCAAAAAATTTGTCCACCACTGATCTAGAACTTCCCCAGAATAATTCCTAGAGCAGTGGTTCTCAACTAGGGGTACATGTACTCAGCTAGATATTTGCCTAGTCTTACACCAGGTTAAAGAAAAAAATTACTAGCAAAGTCAATACAAACTAAAATTTCATACAGACAATGGCTTGTTTATACTGCTCTATAAACTATACACTGAAATGTAAGTACAATATTTATATTCCAATTGATTTATTTTATAATTATAGGGTAAAAATGAGAAAGTAAGCACTTTTTTCAATAATAGTGTGCTGAGACACTTTTGTATTTTTATATCTGATTTTGTAAACAAGTAGTTTTTAAGTGAGGTGAAACTTGAGGTACATAAGACAAATCAGACTCCTGAAAGAGGTACCGAAGTCTGGAAAGATTGAGAGCCACTGTCCTAGAGCACATCTTGTAGAAAAACATCCAGTCTTGATTTTAAAATCATCAGGGATGTAGACTCCAGCAGGACCTTCGGTAAATTGTTCCAATGGTTAATTACTCTCTCCATTAAACATTTTACAACTGATTTCCACGAACAAGACTGTGTAAGTGCTAAAGATTAATTACTATTGTTTGTTGCTGCTGCTGCTTCTATTCTTGTTACCCTACTTAGACCCCTGGCCAAGCAGAACTGTTCTCTACAGTGCATTACAAACTATACCAAGATACTCAGATTTTGCAACCTTGAAGTCTAATGAACAATGTGATGGGAGGGTGAGATTTGAAACCAATGTTCAAAACACATTTATATAAACTATTTTAAATTGAAATATAACTGCACAAAACCATCCTACCTGTTAGTACTCCCGTTTTCTCTACTGGAGCAAATGAAATTGTTTGTTTGAGACTGCCAGCAACAAAAAGCTGCATTTCATACACTTTGCCCTGACCCTTCATTTACAGAGAGAATTTACCATTATGGGCCAAATTCAGATCTGGTGTAATTGGCTACAACACCATTTTGTGGGAAGTTATGTACACCTGCAATATATTGCTAGCTGGGATTTCAGATTCCAAGTGCCCAACACTGTGAGAGTGATTGTAGAGTTGTGAGAGCCAAACATTTTCCAGTTTCCCTAAAAAAGTAAATACCCTGTACTAGGACTAATCTTTTTTGTGGATGATTTGAAAGTGTAGCCTTATAGTCCATCAATGTTCCTCACCAAGTAAGGTAATCTGATGTATCTCAATTTTACTATTGGCAGAAGTGGATGAACTGAACCTGTTTGGTGGATAATCTACTGGATTCACTGTACTACATCATCCAGTCCCTCCAGAACAATCCTGCATAGGCAGGGAGAGAAATGCTAAGAGGCCTTTAGCTCCTCTAATTCTGTGATTCAATACTGCTTAGGACTATAAAAGGGGGGTTCTGCCCACTGCTCTTGAAAGCACACTGAAAGTACTTGAGACTCTCTCTCTTCTCTTTGCAAATAATGGTGGATCATGTGGTTACAGTCTCAAACTGTCACAAGCAAGACTGGCTCTGGCATAAGACATTTACTGCTGGATAGCATATACCCCTCAGAATCCTGCAATCACTGTCACAGTGAAGTCGCTAAGCATTTTGCTGCCCCAGGCAACTGCCTAGTCTGTCTATAAAAGAGAGCCAGTCACTGCCACAAGAGCACACTAGCCTAGAATTATTTTCTGCTCTTGGTAATATTTTAAAGTTGTCACAAGAACAGCTTTATCTGAAGCCCTTTCTCTTTTCTGTTTCTAATCTTCTGAATCTGAATCCTTCCCATGCCATCAGATGTCACTCAGGGCACAAACAAGATTCCACCCTCCCTGTCTATCCTAGGCCACTGTTCATGTGTCCTCTGTGTTGTTAAGTCCCATAAGTTTTCCATCTCTAAATAGTGTTTGTAGGAAGGATTATTTCGGCCAGCTCCTTTTACATGTTCCTCCAGCTGCCCAGTGGCATGCTTACCCCATGACAGGCACTCTGGCTTCATCTTTACCACATCCCAGATATTTCCATCTTCTTTTCTGGATATTTTTGGAGATAAGGAGTTGTTGAACTCTGAAGAATCTTGGCTTTTATTATAAATTAATTCTATTTAATACTTGCTTTTTTTCCTGAGGCATTTCCTTTCAAAGCATTTAAATGTCTGTGCAGACCTTTGGTGGATTTCCAGCTTTCACATGCAAATGTTAAGATGGAAATAACATTTGAGTTGAAGATTCAGTTTGGTCTTTAAATTGTAGATTTTCAGTGACCAAATTTTGTGTAAGCGGGTGAACACAGCTGCAACCTTGCTAATTCATGACTTTATTTCCTTCTGGACATCCTCATTTGCTTGCACCTTACTGCCCAATGTGAATTGATTTACTTTTTGTATTCCTTGCCGTCTTAACATAATGCTTGAGTTAGGAGTTGCTGGGGTTCTCAGTTAGATTTGTTTTTTCATAACAGATTATGAACCCCATCTTTTCTGTGATGCGGGACCGTCTTGGTTGATCTGTCACTTAGAAGAGTCATGGTGTC